TAAATATCAACAACAGCCCAAAGCAATTACCTTTTGTTTAGATCCCTTAGCTATGATATAGACTGGAATTCATAAATGAGTTAATACACAGTCTGTTACACCGTTTTTATGTGTAATTCATGCAGTTAACTGCCTCTGTTTGTTGTTTTGGATCGTCTTACTGAGCTGAGTCACTTTTTTGGCCATGAGGCACAGAGGACTGCACTGGAGCTGAAAATACCTTTAGTGCTTTGAAATGTCACTACATTTGGGGAAAAAGCCGTGCTAACCTTCACGGTGTCACTTACGACTTGACAGATTGCTGCATTGCGTGTTAATGTGACCTCTAAAGAGAAGCAGGAGCCTTTTCTTCTTTTCCAGAATTTGCTAAATTTTGCAGGACAGAACCAAATCCTCTTATAGGGAACAAAGAAACACACTCACAACCTACTACTGTGGCTCTGTTATATGTGTAAATGTGCTGTTTTTCTTTTGGTATGCAGGTGAGAAATAGTAGATTTAGCATATGCATAAAACTCCAGATATGCCCACAAAGCAGTGTTTCTCTCCTGGAGCAAACTACAGTGCACACGTTGCCTCTGCTGATGAAGCAACATGCACATTTTGTCTTTTGCATTTGATTTTTAATATGGCAGTTTAACAATTGTGGGTTGTGTTATAATGTTCTTTTCTTTGGTTAGATACAAAAACAACTGGGGTACAGTTGGACTAAGACCATGGTTTTAGATTAAAATGACTAGCTTGTTAAAGTCAACCTGACCTCCTCCCTCTGGGTTTATTTGATCCATAATGACGTCAGACTTTTGCTCCTAGCGTACAATAGCTGGCCGGCTCTGTTTTGATTGGTCAACCTCATAAATCATATCAAATCAAAATGTAGTATAGCCCCAAATCACAAGAAATGCCTCAAAGGGCTGTACAAAGCAAACAAAAGCAAAGACAAAAACAAAATACAAACGTCATAGCATAACATTTAAAAAAACATTATACATCAACATAAGTATTGCCATGTGATAAAAGCATGTGACTGAAGTGATGCTAATATAGATAGAAACTATGGTGATGGAAATTAGTTAGTTTACAAGGAAGACATAGAGAAGTCCCGCCCCTTAGCCTATCAAGTACAATGTGTTGGAGCGCAAGCAAATAATGGTGCATCGTGGTGTCATTATGTTGCTCAAATGAACAATGGAGGCGTTTCAGGTGTGGAAGGGAAACTCCCTCTGGTGGGAACACAGGCATTTGAGCCTTTGCAAACCATTTACATGCACAAAAACCTATATAAACCCCAAAAAGCATGTTAGGGCTTATTCAAGTATTTAGCCCGAGGTTACTTCGACTGCAGGGGCTGGAGATTGAACCGATGACCCTCTGATTGGTAGATTAAATGTACCCTTGAGCCACAGCTGCAAATGTATGCTATACCTAGAACCTGCTGTATAATAATAATAAGAGAAATGGAGACAGGTTCCACACAAATACACAAACACACAGTTTGTCTGATTTAAGTTTTTCAGAGTATATTGACTGCAAGTTTGGTTCACTCTGCCTTTGTTTGCCCTCAGGAAGCAGACAGAGAACACATCGGCACAATAACGTTTATTGGGGAGATCAAGTTGCCGTCCTTCCATGACACCATAAATATTGTAACTTTTGTTTTTCATCTGGGAGGATAAATCAGCGATGGTGGTGAAAAACATGGCAAACGGCTCCAATGCCCTGTTCCCATTGTGTTGGTAGATGTGGTTTTCTGTGTATGCTGCAAAATTCATGACACAAGAGCATACAAAAAACCTCCGACAGACTCTTTTTTGTTGCCAATTCAAAGAGTTGACATCAAGATTTATTTTCCATTTTGCAGCCAGTGTTCTGAAAAATCTGAAATGTCAAAATGCACAAGAAAAGTCGGCAAGAAAAGAAGGGCAAATAGCTGGAAAAGTTAATTATTTGTGATTAACTCTTTCCCTGTTTCAATCACACTTAAAGTTGCTCTTCACATTACCAGCTCGACTGCCATTGATTGTTCCTGTTTTCATTGTAATCAGAGGATCCTAAAGACGTCTCTTAGCATGACGCAATCAAAGGTCCTTCTCTTTTTCAGAGAAGGACCTTTGATTGGAGGAATCAAGAACTCTTATTTCGGTGACGTTGCTCAAGGACAGAGACCCGGCCCTTCATTTAATGTCTTACAAAACTAGAGACATAAAAAGGGCAAAAATAGAGACACCGTGTAAAGGGCTTGCTCCTTAATGAGATATTAGCAATCCTCGCTCGGTTTAAAAATATACACAGGAGATGAACATTGGCTTCCTAACAGCCTCTTCCAGTAATCGTGGAGAGCCACTTTAATGATGATTGTAAAGCTCAGTAAAAGGCTTGAGATTTGCATTTCTTAAATAAATGGAAATGATTCAAACGAATCACCTGGTCTAAAAGGTACCTTAATATGATGTTAGTGAGTGACTGCAGAGAGAGATTTGACATGTGCTCGGTTGTGGTCAGATTATTGGGATGAATACGAACACTTTAGCCGCTTTCACACCAAGTACTTTGCCGTACTTAGTGCCCAGCACTTAGTGCCAGCACTTAGTGCCCCCATGGAACTAAAGAGCAGATCGCGTTCACACCGGAATAAGTTCCCTGAGGGAAGATTACGCAAATGAAGCCTCTGACGTCACTTCTTCTTCTTCTGCTTTGGGTTTACTGGCAGGCCACTAACCACTTCACGCCGTATACTGCCACCTAACCAACCAAACAGAGTCTCCTTAATATGCCGCTCTATTTAACCTGCCAGATATCTCTCTATGCTTTGCTTGCTGCAGCTACTTCCACGTCGCTGCTGCTTGCCTGCCCCACCACCACCCCAGCTTCCACACCAGCTTCCACCTGTAGGCTCGGGGGGTTAGTTATTTAATCATCATTCATCGTGCTATGTATATCTGTGGAGTGATGAGGCCCGAGCCTAGACGCCAAACTCAACTATATGCTGCTTCTAATAAACATGTTAAAGAAACACATGAGTTGTCTGACTGAACTATATATAATCAAGGCTGAACAATAATGGAAAAGTCCACCTTGTGTTTATTCATTTATGAAAAGGACTATACTGCCAATATAGTCTCCTACATTTTCTATCTTTATCTTCAGTTGGTCAGCAACAGCAGCGATGTGCGTAAATAACCCATAACCCCGTATAGAAGTAGCATACAGTACTGCTTCATACACAAACAAATGTGGGTATCTTGAAATGTAAAAGGGAGCTAGTAACAATGAGTGGTAAATGCATGTAGTGGAGTAAAGATTGTGTCACTTTCCTCCAAATGTAGTGGAATAGAAGTCGCATAAAACGGAAATACTCAAGTAAAGTACAAGCATGACTGAATAGTACTGAGTATATTTACTTATTTACATGTAACCTCTGGTAATGACACATCCTATCCAAGCTCTCCAGCTGATTTACTCACTAGAATAGAAACCCAAAAGCCTTATTCTAAGGTGGACCAGAGCCCAATAACATGTCTGAACTGTACTGTCCTAAAGCTCGTTCAACACCTCACCAAACATATCAAACTGTTTGCCAACTCTACGCATTAAACCCCTCTTTACTCTCTACTCAGACGCTTTGGATACAAACACAGTTTCAAGTTTCACTTTCTTTTGATTTGTTAGAACTTGTCCTGATTTTCCATTACAGGCCTGTCATTATGTCCAGTCAGTTTTTATTTACTCTCAGCATTACAAAGCTCTTCAGCTTCTCTGCTGTCAGGCTACTCGACAAACAGAGACCAACTCTGTTTACTGTTTCTGTATCAGTGTGGCATTAATCTTCTTTTGTTCTGATATTGTGCAATGCCCACCCACACACACTCAATCACGACCAGAATGAAGTTGGATTAATCCTACTCTTTATTGCCTGTCCCCAGTCTTGTAAAAAAAACACCTCTAAGATTACACGTACATTTACATACCTCCAGTCAAGATTTACTTCTTTAATTTAGATGTAGTGTACGAGTACAGTGTAGTGCTCAATTGCTTAGAGTGTGGTACCACTGTGGTGCATTGATTTATTTTCTACATTTCATACATTTTCATTTAGCTCAGCTGTCGGAGCACTAGTTTCTAGTGGAGCTGCTTAACATATGGGGCCCTACTGTTTTTGTAATTGTATCCGTTAAATCAGGGAACAGATTAACTCCTGGGGTGCCAGGTGAACGCAATTAAAGTTAAACTAATGACCTGATAGGACAGAAAACCGCATGAAATCAGAATGAAATGTTTCTTTAGAGGCCAGCAGTGTTTTAAGAGTCTTTGGACAATTCTCTTCCTATGTTTGGAAGCTTTGAAATACAATTGTTACTGGATATCATTCAGCTTTCAGCCGGCACACTTTCATTCTAAATTCAGTTATAAAATGACAGAAAGAGTTGTGTTTTTTACGGCAAAACAAGTAGACTGCCTCTAACTGTGCCCTGTCAGAACCTTTTTGTAAATATTCGATTTTTTAAATACAACTGTATGGCCTTAATAAGGTTATCTTTCTTTCTCATTGTATTTTTTGCCAAAGGAAGTCTTGTTATTAATGCTTTCTACAGAAACACATAAACGGCTCAGGCATACAGAGGAAACTGGTCTTTGTTTGGGCCTCCAGACATACATTAGTTGTTTGAACTTTAATATTGTCTGTGGCCCTTCAGTTATCAAGATACCACTCTTACAGACATGGGGATCGATCTTCTGATCTAACTTTGGGTAAGAAAGCTTTCAGATGTCTTTTATAATATTTGTCTATTTTATCTGTATTTAAATAAATAAAAAACTTGCCTTCAGAACCATTGCTTTCACTGGTCTTAAATGATTGATAGAACAAAAAAAATCAGTTATTTTCTTATGACATAAGACAAGCACATTACCAAAAGGTGTACAAGTCCTGTGTGAAAGCAAAAGTCAAGGCTAACTTTTGTTGCAATCTCCAACAGTAAATCTTGACATTATGCAAACAATGAAATTTAAGATGCAAATTTTATTTTGGATGCTTTGTGTACACATTACAGCATCTTTGCAAATCCATTACATTGAATGCTAATCCAGTGCAGAGCCAAAGACCTCGACCTCACAGAGGGTCAGGAACTCCTTTCTTCCAGGGACACCTATGTAAACATAGCGGCCGTCCATCCCGTTGGAAACCTTGAACTCAACAGTTTCACCTGCCGGGATGCTGGTGATTACAGCAAACCTGTAGAAGAAGCAGAAATCACTACATTAACCTCAGGAAGGGTTTGTTGAAGTAATAGGCTTTTCATTTTAAGTTCAACATGCACTCAAAGCGTCATTAGGTTTCTACGCTTTACTTGGTTAGAATGTTGGTTGCAGATCTTTTAATTAGGGCTTGATAATGAACAATATTTATATTTCAGTAATGTTTAAATAAATGTTTTCAAATCATGTCACAGAATCACAATTGACGACCCTCGATCAGGCCTTTAATTTGGCGACCTTGGTATTTGTCCATTTCTGTGATCAGATCAGAACACATTGCAGGAATCATTCATGAATGAAGGGTATTCCCGCTCCAATCCTATTTCTTGGCAATGTAAGGATTTTTTATCCAAAATGTAGCACCAGGTAAACTTGAGAGAGAAAAACTGAATAATTGTTCCTCAAACGTGTTCCAACAAAATACCAATTTAGTGACTTTTTAATATTAGTATTGTTATAGGAGAGGCTGTAAGTTACCTGGGATTGGCAGCACCATTGTTTACAAGAGAATCTCCAATGCGGATCTCGGCTTCATTGAGTCGTTGGGGGACTTCATATAGGTTGGTTATCTTAACAGAAAACACTTTGTGTGTTTTGGGCAGAGCCAGCCTCCACCAGGGGTTCAATTCATGGGCTGTGTGACTGCAGGAACCGTCATTGAACTTGGAGGCCCGACTCCCATCAATGGCTCTATCTGCATTGGCAGACCCATGCAGTAATGACTGTGCGGCTTTTCCTTGAATGGCCAGGTTCTCTCCTGCAACAAAAAAACAAAAAAAAGATTTAGGTTAAATCAATAACATTTATGACTCCTGATGCAGATTGTTTTTTATTATACTGTTTCACCATGACTCTCAAAAGATGTGATTTAATTTGCCGTCAGGATGAAGGACATAAATGGGATGACCCCACCATATATAAACAAATAACTACCATAAAGTTATTTGTTATTGGAAAATAGGAATTAAAGTAATATTATAGTCTATAATATATTGAGTCTATAGTTAAAGTTATATATAACTACAACTGCACTAAGTTTAACTAAATGTGTCATTCAGTTTTGGCAAATTTAAATAAAATAAGACCTGTTTTAATAATCATAAGTGACATGAGAGGCTGGTACATCCTTTCTCTTTTTCCTATTAATGGGACCATATTTTACAACTTGAACATCATGCCGGATTGAAGAAGACTTGAAACAAACAATTGAGATCATAAACTAATGGGTACACTCTTTCCAGCAGTAATAAATCAAGTGAGTTGCAGGAACATTTTTCATAGACTTCTACACAATCAGACTTTCAGAAAGAATGCAGGTTGAAGGCACTTCTGCATTGAGTTAACTTTTCAGCCGCTTGGCTTTTATGACAGTTACTTGTTTAGATGGAAATCACACATTATTTATGTAAGATCCCAAACCCTCACCAGTTGGGGCATGGTACCCGTAGACTTCCACCTCACAGAGGCTAACGATCTTTCCATTACCCGGTATACGCACAGTCACATAGCGTCCCTCCACACGATGAGTGAAAGTCAGAGTGGTCAATGCCTCTATTGTAGAAATTGTACCAACCCTAAAAGAAAGAGAACAAAAGTGAGAAAGAAAGAAGAACATGAATGACATGTTATACCCCTAAGGCTTCAACAGTTAGATAAAAGGTAACTGGTAATTTCATCATAGATTTCTATACAATCTGACTCCTTTTTGCAATCAGGGGGGCACCCACTGCAAGATATGAAAGACGATGCAAGTTTAATGCACTTCAGCATTGCCTCTATTTTTGATAAGCAAATAAGTAAAATGACATGGTTGAAACATTTAGGAACAGTTTCTATGAGAATCTACTGGCAGAGGTGGGTAGTACATTTACAGTTTTGAGGTACTTGTACTTAACTTGAGTATTTCCATTTCATTCAACTTTCTACTCCTATTCCTCTACATTTCAATACGGAAATAATGTCATGTTATTCCAGTACATTCATTAAACAGCTTTAGCTACTTTTAACTAAATGCATCTCTAACAATTCAACTAGGGGACTAACTCTTTAAGTCACAAAACAGTCAAATCATATAAATAAAATTAAACTCGTAAAATGCCTCTTAATGCATGAATATATCTAGAAATGTCACATACATATGTACATTTAATCATTAAGTACATTTTGCTGATAATACTTTTGTACTTTTACTTGAGTAACATTTTGAATGCAGGACTTTTCTTTGAAATATTTTGAAACTAGGGTATCTGTACTTTTACTTGAGTAAAGCATCTTAATACACCTCTGTCTACTGGTGGTGAGCAATTAACAGGGGAGAGGAGAAGATAAACAAAATGCTCAGACAGTTACACAAAACAAATGAATAAAATGTGTTCAGGAAATGTCTTACACTCGGTTTCTTGCACCATTGTCGACTAAAGAGTTGCCGATGTGGACCTGTGCCCCCAAAATCCTTTGTGGATCTCTGTCTTCTCTGTTGGCGATGATGACGGAGGTGACGATGTAGGGCTCCAGCAGGTCCACTCTCCACCAGGGGTTGCTTTCTCCATCAGTGTGGCTGCACGATCCAGAATAGAAGTCAGTTTCATGGTTTCCATCAATAGCGCTGAAGGCAGCTCCAATATGTACGTAACTGTCAGACTGTGTCGCTTTTCCACGCAACGCCACGTTTTCTAGTAAAGAGACAGTTGAATATATAATTATAATACACACATTGGAAAATGGTTTAAGCTACATTAGTGTTCCAACAGATAACTGGTCCTGAATATTCAACGCACAACAACTAAAGAAAATAGAAAATAGAAAAAACACAAATTACAAACAGAGTAATGCTGCACGTTTCTCAGAAAGTAAATGATGACTTGATATTACATCTGTGAACGGTGATCATTAAAAACTATTCCATTGTGAGTTGGGTTACGCTTTCTGAATTTGCTGCATGTTGCTTCAGCATGCACGTGTTGCCAACTTGATAAAGATGTTTATAAGTGTTCACAGTTACATTCAAACAGTATTACCACAATAACAATAACTAGTTATTGGAGCAGCAAAACATACAGTATCTAATGTGAGCAGTGAGATTACAATATTTCATGCATTACATAACTGCTGAAAAACTAATATTTCCACCGCAATCCAAAGGACTTTGGAGCTAAAGCTATAAACTAGACCAGTGGTTCCCAACCAGGGGTACAGGGACAAAATAAACCATTTTAAATCAATTTAATTAAGCTTGGTGTCCTGCCCCCAGAACTATCAAAGTTTACGAAAGATAAGCAAGGTCGAGTGTCTCAATAAAAGCTCTAGTCTTAACAAAAGATGTTGAAACTGCTAGAAAAGTTTAAAGGTCAAGTTTAAATGCATTTGTATTAAGGGTGACTTATCAACTAGGGAGCAGTTTGGTTAAATACGATTAGAAAAGGGTTTAAAAATAAACAATGTAGGCGAATCATCACAGATGAGTGAGGGGGCTCTTAGAGAATGGAGACCAGCTCAAGGGGTGAACGAGACAAAAAAGGTTGGGAACCACTGATCTAGACAATGAAACTTAATTTGTATAAACCTGCTTTTCTTGCTAACGGACAGCCTTACGTTCACTTCCCTGTTATGTTTTATAGTGAAAACGTCTTATATAAACAATTCATACTCACGATAAGTGGAGGCAGAGCACGTCTCCATGAGGAGCATGAGAAGGAAAACACTGAGTTTCATCATTCTGGATGAGACCTAGGATAGTCATTAATAGAATATATTTAACATAAAACACATTTCTTTGTTATTTCTGAAAGGCATCATTTAAGAAATGAAAATCAGATCTAAGTGTATTGAAATAGTTCGATTTGAACATTAAGACCATGATCCCGCCCCTTATGTCTTTGACAAATGGGAAGTAAAAGTTGAACGTATTTAATACAACTGTTAATAAAATCAAAGCTGCAATTTGAATGTATACTTTATGATGAAGACCTTTCACGAAGAAGAACGAATAATATTATTTTAAATAATTAACAATGGGGAAGAGCTTGGTTAAATCCTTGACTTTGATTGGATATTCCTTCTCTGAGAATACATGATTTTTCGTAACCTGTCTGTAAGATACAAAACATCCCTGACACACCGGGGACACATATTTATGTATAAAAGACATCAAAAAGTGCATTTTGCATGATAGGTCCCCTAAAAGGAGGATAGTGCAACACACAATCAGGTGACAGGTCAAAATGCATCAGAGTGAATTGAGAAAGTGCAGCAGAGAGCAGGAGTTTGCTTCCTAAAAGGCTAAATTGTACAAATATGTTTTGAGTTTTTTTTTCAAAGACTTCCACTGAGCAGGCATCCCTGATGTCTCTAGGTATTTTGTTCCATAGCTTTGGGGCATAATTAACGAAAGCTGCATCACCAAACGTCTTTTTGCGGCCGTTTCTGGGAACCTCTAACGGAGCGTCCACACAGCAGCGTTAAAAAAATCTTGGAGGTGGGCGTATCTGAAGCTTGGGGATTTTTTGCGAGCAACGCGACCAACAACCAATCACATGAATCTCCCGCCCCCGACATACAAAGCAAAAAAGCCCGAAGTAAACTGGATATAAACTCCCCAAACAGGCGAAAACCTACCACTGTCTCTGCCACCTCCCTCCATGCCTGGCTCCTCCGGTTTGTATCCCGGTAGGTAAATAGGGACTGGTCATAAAGCACCGGGTGATTCCCTACCGCTAATTTCTCCTCCATTTTTTGGAATATGAGGAAATTACTCTATGTCTCTCCCAGCATACACGCGGTTTGATTGGCTAGCGCTTGAACTGTCAGATTTGCATAAACGGGATTTGATTGGCTGATGCTTCCACCTCCGCTTCAAAAGTTGAACATTGCTCAACTTTGAATCCTGAAAATCCTGAAAATCTCCGCTCTACTTCCCACAATGCAGTTCGGCGAAAAGTGAGGCAAAGTGACGTCACCCCATTCAAAGTGAATGGGCAGAAGCATTAGAAGATTTTTTTAACGCTGCTGTGTGGACGCTCCGTAACAGCAGCAGAGGAACGCAGTGTTCTCGACGGCTTGTGGCTGACAAGGGAGTTAGCAATATAGCTAGGTCCTTGCCCATTAGGGCCTTATATGTCAGGAGGAGGACCTTAAAATCAACACTAAAGTAAACAGGAAGCCAGTAAAGAGCTTCTAAAACTGGACTAATGTGTTCTCTCTTCTTAGTTCTGGTTATCCGCAGAGCTGCAGAGTTTTGGTTGAGCTGAAGTCTGTCAGTCGTTTTTTTCAGGAGGTCACTGAAAAGTGCATTACAGTAGTCTATCCAGTTTGAAAATAATATTTCTTCCACCGCTGCAAAACATTAACATTAATACAAAATGTTTGAAACATACAAGATTTTTAAATAAAATAGTAGGAATGAGAATTGAAATGCTTACCCCAGTGAGAATAGAGGTTTTGTCCCAACAAAGTCGAAGTTACTTGATCTCAGAACTTCAAGAAGTGTCTGTAGATAAAAATCCTTAAAGCTGAGCTATTTGTATGATATCTTCCCCCAAAGTCAATCAATAATCATGATCAGCATCCAATCACTGAATACCATGTAGTATACTCCCAGGCACATGAACCCAGTTATATCTCTCACAGGCTCCGCCCTCTACTGGACTCTATGGGTACTACCTTATCATGCAAGCATTCAGCTACTGAGATTTCTATAGACGTAGCCGGCCCCGGGGCGGGCTTACCTGAATGCGTGCGCATCTCACTTCCGTATAAAAGGAGGCCTCGCCTCCTGACCACTATCCTTTACTCTTCAGCGAGCGGAGGTGGTAACCTAGCACTGAGTCCGAGACGTACAAGTGGGAGAAAGGAAGTAGAGAGAGATATTGTTGAAAATGGAGCCACTCCTGGAGCATCGCAGTTGCCCGTCGTGCCCTGGACTGATTGCGGGAGCAGACCCGCATCGCCAATGTTTTCAGTGCCTGGGACAGGATCACGCTGAGCAGGGAGCAGGCCAGACACCGGCCTGTGTTTCCTGCTGCTCGATCCCGATGCTAAACCGCCGGCATCGTGCGGAGTACTTCTCGAGGAAGTTTGGCCCGCAGGTGCACGGAGAGGAAGAGGATGTGGACCTCGAGGTGGTGGAAATGGACGACCTGGAGGACGTGCCGTTTGAGTTCGTCCTTCCGAGGGACCGCGTGGTCGACTTCACGGAGGATGACGACATCTCCTTGTCCGACACCCCCGGGTCCGACAGCCAGGAGGGCCCAGCACTCAGGTCTGCGCGACTGGACTTCCCAGCGGTGATGACCCAGGCAGCGGAGCGTGTAGGCTTACCGCTCCCCCCACCGCTGCCACCGAGGCCTGTAAGCCGCCTTAGGCAGGGGTTTTACGGTCCGGTGCTTCCGGCGCAGCCGGCTTTCGTCTCGCCCCCGTTGCCAGACATCTGGCAGTGTGTGGAGGCGACATGGCGGCGTCCATTGAGGACGAAGGCCGCCATAGCATCCATGTCGGGCATTATCAGGGTGCAGGGCCGATCAGACACGGTGTGTGCTGGCGTGCCCCCCCTCGACGAGAGCCTGGCGGCCCATCTGTTGCCACGATCAGCGGGTTGGGCGGAGGGGAAGAAACCTCTGCCCCCGCTGCCGCGGGACCGGGAAGCCTTAGAATATTTGGATAAAATATTCAGGCTCGGTTCACAGATGGCGGCTGCGGCGAATAATCTGGGTGTGTTGGGCGTCTCCTTGATTACTCCTCGAGCAGACGCCCCCGCTCTCCCGTCTCAGGACGGGGATGATTATCCGGACCGCTGCATAGGTCAGATGAATAATCTGATCCATGGAGTGGCCACCGCAGCCGGGCGAGTGATGTCCTTAGCCACAGTGGCGTCTCGTCATGTGTGGCTGGGACTCACCGCGCTGCCCAAAAAGGACCGAGCAGATCTCCTTGGAGCCCCCGTTTCCACGGAAGGGCTCTTTGGGTCTATAGCCTCGGTCAACCAGCGTTTCAGCCGTCTGGAGGAAGAGAGGCTGCAGCTTAGCCGCATGTTGCCGCTAGCTTCTCCCCAGGTGTCGCAGCGTCCTCCGCGGGCGGCGGAGCGCAGTGCAACGGTGAGACGGAGGGAGAGACGCCGGTACGAAAGTCCTGTGCCGGTAGCACCCTCCGCTTCTTCAACCAGCCCCGTGGGGCCAGCGTACCGGCACTCACGGGGGCGGGCTGCCCGGCCACGGCAGTCTCAGCAGCAGCAGAGAACCGCCGGGTGGGGAGCTCCGCCAAAACGCAGCTGACTGGCGGAGGGAGGAAGCGTCTCATCGGGTCTCTCCACCCAGGACGCTAGGGTGAATCCCACCTCCTCCCTGTTCAATGCCCAGGTCCCTTGTATTAGGAAAACTAATAAAGAAAAGGGTGATCTGTATCCAAGTCTGAGTGTCATGTGTTTTCACAATCCTGCACTCACACACATTGTTGACTGTACATATTCCCCACTCGCTACCCCGGTTATTTCTCCTGTAAAGGAGATAGCTAGTGGGCATGCGCAGATGAGAGAGATAAACCGCAGGAAGTGCTATAGTAGCGCTATGCGGGTGCAGGGACTTGCTAGTCGGCGCATTATGGTTAGGGAACACACTACGCCTAGAATAAAGGCTCCTAATAATACAGTTTACCGTAGTGGTAAGAGCTGCATTATGGCGGAGCTCACGCTCTCTCAAGAGCCCATGGTGTGTTCAGGGACCTCAGGTGAACACAATACGTCAACAAAAACTCCGGTTAATGCTGGTTACCATGGTAATGAGAACAGCGTTAGGGTGGAGCGCGCGCTCACACAAGAGCGCGCGACGGTGTGTTCAGGGACCTCAATAAAAAATCGGCCCTTTCTGTGTCGACCCTCCATGGGCAAATCTTCCTTTCACGGGGGATTTTGTGGCGGAACGGGTCAACAGAGAGTATCACAGCTTTATAGCTGCGGCCCCACAGCTAAGGGCTTGTCCATTAACTCAATATTATGGGGAATGGAAACTCAGCTGTGTACTGTCAGAGTGGATGGACAGGACGCTGAAACGGGGTTATTCACTCCAGTTTTGCAGCGTCCCACCTCCATTCAGAGGCATGCGAGAGGTAATTTTATCATCCCAAGAGGAGATGGGTTTCCTCTCAACAGAGATTCAGGCTTTGGTGCAGAAACAGGGAGTGTCTGTAGTGCATCCTCAGCAAAAAGAAAGGGGTTTTTATTCCATGTACTTCCTGGTTTCCAAGAAGACAGGGGAATTCAGACCTATTCTAGATTTGCGCAGCCTGAATCTTCACATTTGCCGCAGGAAATTTCGCATGTTAACTATCAACCAGTTAATGGGGCTAGTGCAGCCGGGCGATTGGTTCACCACCATCGACCTGAAAGACGCATATTTTCATGTGGAGATTGTGCCAGAGCACAGGAAATATCTGCGTTTTGCCTTTCAAGGGATAGCCTACGAGTACAACAGACTCCCGTTCGGCTACTCCCTATCCCCACGCACATTCAGCAAATGTGTGGCCACAGCGCTTCAACCGCTGCGCGCCCAGGGCATGAGAGTTTTCTTTTACATAGACGACCTCATAGTCATAGCTGGGTCCCGGGAACAGGCAATGTGTTGCACAGCACAATTGATCACACACCTAACCAAATTAGGCTTTGCGATCAATTGGCGAAAGAGCACCCCCATACCTCACCAACAGGCGTTGTATTTGGGAGTGGGGCTCGATGCAGGCGC